GAGGATATTACAAATCCCGGAGGAGGTCATAAACCGTAACTCTGTTAAACAGAACTGAAACACTTAAATAAATTGACTGAACTATTTTTACACACTATCACCAGTGGAAAACTCAAGCTGGAAAACACTGCACAATGCCCGTTTTGTTTAGCGTGTTCTCATTACAGACTAGAAACGAAGCAGCATCTTACACAATTTGCAGTTTCTAATAAAAGGGAAGTGCATTTGGAAAATCAAGCCTCGGTTTTAAAAGCTGAACAATTTAATGACCCCCAATTTAAGGCTGGGGTTTGTTTGGTTTCTTTATACCACTGTCCCAGCTGCAATTGCTTCAACCCTGTCTTGGGGAAATCTAGTGTTATGATATTTCTAAAGGGAGCATCATGTTGCACTCGCCATCTGGGAAGCAACCTATTACAGGATTTCCTTCCCCTCAGGGAGGGACAGTTAATGCAAGGCCATTATCTGCTGTAAGCAGGAAATTATGCTAGAAGGGTTCAACTACTTAAGGCTCCTTCTTTAAAGTCCCACTCAGAAGGCAGCAACCTTAAGATTCAGCCTTAAAGCGAAAGACTTTCAGGCATTAAGGTTTTTGAAAGATGTTCAGGCAGGACAGTATGTTCAAGCATGTGGGAGGGGTTTTCAACGAGCAAAGGTGTGCAAGAGTTTAATTTCTTCAGGAACTCGGCAGAAAATTCAAACAGCACGGAAAATTCAGACAAATTATTCTTTGTGGGACATAACGCAAAGACACTGGCACAGTCTTCTAACAACGTTTTATGACCTTTACTCATGTTTAGGACATACCACGTTTCAGGCGTGCTATTTATTCTGAAGGACACACCTGCCAAATACAGTGCAATACCAAGGGGCAAAGATTTTGTTCTTACAATTCAAGTTATGCAATCTAATGAATATACAACTCCTCAAAGCAAAAACTCAGGAAGAAACGTCAAGTATTCCTCTGCTCCCCACCACGCCAGTCTGGACTCTGTAGAAACAGGAGCTGCGTATAACAACTGTTTTCTGCTGCCTTGTGTTCTAAAAATACCCAAGCGAAGAACAATCTAGCCTAAGAGAGTCGCTAAATAGAGTTAAAAACAAAACAGAACAAATTCAGGAAAGCAGAAAGTTTACCTTTAGTAAATAAAGAGAACTCTGGTTCTGGGGAGAGTGGAAAAAGTATCTGGCATCTTCCTAACCTTTGCATAATTAATAAATCCTCTGAGAAACAGCAGAAAACCTAGATGGAAGAAACACATTTGTCCAGTTAACACAGGTGTTGCTTCTTCAATAGCAGTTCAACTCACCGTTATTAGTACAGAGGGACCTAAGTTGCTGGGATGCACAATAGCTGATTTAATACAAGATTATTTTTTTTTTTTTTTTTATCAATGACATCTAATCTTTCAGTTTCAGGCAATCTCAAAAACAAACTTTCCTTAGGCAATCACAGAACTTTTGACTCCAAATGAGATCCAGTCGTTTCCAAAGGGGGGGGGGGTGGGGTGGAGAAAGACCACAACACACCCTTCCATTTAAGATATAAGAACAGATACAACATCAGTTACTATGAAGACAAGCATTGTTCTCTTCTTTACTCCTTCTGGATGACAAACAGGATGCTGCCACCAAGAAATGACAAAAGGACAATGTTTATGTGTACCTTTAAAACGCAGCAGGCATTCAGTAAGAGGAAGAGTACTCTGAGGGTTACATTTCAGTTTTACATCTATACGCACGTATTTTAATAGCCAGTAAAGCTATGCTCACAAAAGCCCTAATTGCACTTTGCAAAGTTTTAAGTATGCATTCCCTCTTCCCCCCAGAACAAACACTCACCTAGTACAAGGAAGACCCACCAAAGCCAATACTGGCCATCGAAGTAACCAGGAAAATAGGTGGAGAACTAAAAAAAAAAAAGAAGGAAAGAAACAAGTTAGAGCACACGGCAGTTTCTGAACCCAAATCTATTCTCACCAACTTCAGCAGTAACCAGATAAAGCCTGCTGCATACAAGAGAGCTTATAGAATGCTACATTTCATCAACTGCACGGAGTGCAGGGAACAAGCTACCTCCACGAACTTTCATTTAAGGTTTTTCTACACACGTCAGACCAACTCTAACCAAGGGGAATGAAACAGATTCAATACCCAGCCATAAACTCTTGCAATGAGTGGAGCAGAAGACACTACTGAGCAAATACTCCTATTTTCCCTGAGGTCTCTGATGCTTATAAACCACCGTTGCAGTTTCTGAAAGGGAAGACCAAGTTTGCAGCAGTGCATCACGCTAATTACACTGTAAGGTTGGATAGTATAGCAAACAAAAGTACAGTTGACAAAGAAATCCCAGGTCTGTGGAACCCTCTGACAAGATTTTCTATTGGGAAAGTTACTCCTATTGAATAAAAGGCACTGACACTATCAGAGCACCAAAGTTCACTATGTCAGTGGTAAATACAGTGTAATTTTTTTTGTTTTCATTCTATTCAAGTTTAAAAACCTAACAAAAGGTAAGCTTGTTATCAAAGTTTAAATCAAATCCACAGTTAAGGTCACCTGTTTCTGTCACAGCTCTTAATCCAGCAAATAGCTCTTAACACCATCATGACAAGGTGACCCCAAAAATCTTAACTTTCTACAGAAAAAGCAAACAGATGCTGTATTTACAAATTACAATTTCTAGCCCAAAGAGATTAGGTGTGAAGCGACAGCCCTAACACTAATGCTCTCTACTTCTACTTACGCACAGCTGATGAGATTTTTTGCTTGAAATTCCAAATTTGGCCTGGGATGTCTGCATGCCATTTTCACAAACACCTTCTTTTCATGGGCTCCAAATAAAGCTTTTCTGATATTTTCTCACAGTCCCTCCAAAAAAAGAGTTTGACTTTTTTTTTTTTTCCATTCCTTCCAGCATCAGCACATCTATATCCTTTTTTTTCCTCTCCCTGGAAAGGTTTCTCTTCCTCCAAGTTTTAAAAACACTATGTCAGCCTTTCTTGCTTCCGTAGGCAGGGGTCTGTGCCCAGCAGGGCCCTATCCTCGCACCCAGGCTTCCATAATACAAACCAGTTCTGATTAGTCATCCCCTTCCTCTCCCTGTGTGATCTGGTGGAGGGGAGCACAGTGGATGTTTTAACAGCCTGGATATGCCCAGAGTTTATACGGAAATAAAACAAAACAGAAAAGCGTGCTTCTTCCTGATCCCCTGCTGCTTGTGCCGCAGGCATGTCGCACCAGAGGGCACCAGCGGGCTTCTCCCGTCCATGTGACGAAGCGGTGGCTGCCTCTTCTTCCTCCAGCGAAAAGCAAACCTCACACCTCCTAATTTTTAGGTCCCTATTTCCCTCTCCTCATCGGCTACCCCACATTTTAGACATTTTTTTTTTTCCCAGAGGAGCACCTAAGGAACATCATACTGGAGAGAAACATCCCTGTGCTGACGGCAGGGCTTGCTTTATCTGGATAAACGTTTTACAAAGATCAGATCATTGTTACTGCTCAACACACAAACACATTTTGATCCAATACAGCAGCTCTGTCAGAGACAGCCATACTTGGGTGTGCAATCTTTATTCTTTTATTACAATAATAATTCCAGCATATAAACAGGACAGAATGATGAAAAAGCTCTGTTCTCAGTGAATAAGGGGCTCAAAATCTATTTCATTATAAAAAGCTAAATTTGTAACTAACTTCAGTATCAGTGAGCTAAAATGAGCGAGGGAAAAAGAGTAACAACGTCTATGTACATGTTTTTGCACTACACAACTTACCCTGACAATAAGGATCCACTTAATAAGAGACAGACCAAACCCAGAAATGGCTCCATATCGTCCTGCAGCTGAAGTAGTCAGACAGAAAGACAGGAAAAATCCAATCCAGTTGAAGAGGAATGCCACTGAGAAAGCAGGAGAAAAGCAGCAGGTCAAGCCCTCTTTATATTCCAAGGGGAAAAAAAAAAACCCAAAACATAAAACCCTTGCACACAGGTTTTTTCCTGGTGCTACATAAACATAAGTGTGAAAATAACTCTAGCTATTTTGGGTCACTGCCTGAAAAAAAGTAAGTTCCATCATGTACTTACTGAAAAAAGTGAGCATGAAAATGCCATCATTTCCTATCCTCAGCTGGTCGGTGTCGTCAAAGTCATCCCGTGTCACAAAGTCGTCATCCTGCAAATCAAAGGGAGGCAAGACGTGGGTGGATTTAAGTCAGTCCAGTCCATACAGCAATCCCAGCTGTGCATGTGGCTCTTCAAGAAAGGGCCAGCAAATTGTATAGCCCCCAAAAAGCAGTGTACAATGGAGGGATACAAAATGCTTCATTTAAATTTAAGGAAAGCCCCCCACGGGGCGGGGGGTGGAATCCTAAATCTCAAGAGGCTCCACATGCAAGCAGGAAAAATTCCTGCTTCTCATCCTGAGATGATTCAGGGCATGAAATATTAAGTCACTAGCAGTATTTCGTCGGGTTTTTTTAAGATTGTCAAGATTGGGCATGTTCTTGTTCTCACTGTAGAGAATTACCGTACTCATCAAAAAAATTAAACTTGTCATCTCAGCAAGGAATTTGGCTTCTATGAAGAAGCATAACGAGCAGTAGACATCTAATGCTAGCAGGGGTGGAGGAAGAGGCCGAACAAGAGATAATGTTGAAAAAACAAAAAGAAATAAAAAATGAAAAAATAATTATTCTGACAGAATGGTTTTATCATCCTTGTATCAGATACACTGACCTCTGGAAAAGTCAACTAAGCAAGCGGCAGGAGTATCAAGGGTAGATATGCTAGATGGCTGAACAATTAATCCTAAATCTTTTAAAAAAAACCCCAAAACCAAACAAACAGTGACAGTGCACACAGATACAGCACAGTTCCTCTGTCAGCTTGCCAAACTAATCTGGATAGCACATGCTGGCATTATTGAGACGTCTTACATCATCCTAGCTGCCCAGAGGAAAGTTAAAAAAACCCAACAAAATTAGCCACAGAACTCTTGGGAGTGTGTAATATCACCACCCAGAAAGCTTAAAAAAAAAAAAAGTCATGACACTTGATCGGCAGGAGTTAAACCAGAAATTCTACAGAAGAAACGTGCAGGACATAGAGCCAGCCAAGCATACTCACTCTTCCAGGAACCAAGGGAATTGTGGCTTCAGCCTTGGTTCTCTCTGCCTCATCATAACTAGGCAGTGTTGTGGCCACGTTGTAAGATGGAGGCTTAGGAAATCCTGACTCATCCTTGTAGTCAAAATAAGCTGGGGGGGAAAAAAAAAAAAAAGTTACATAGAAGGTAACTAGTCAGTCCTTAAGAACACCGTGTTGGGAATGAGAAGCGTTTCAGATGACTTCAAAAGACCCCAATATTCCAGACTGCTAAAGCCTGCCCCCCCGTCCCCTCCTCACCCTTCTAGCCTCTTGCCATCCCAAAACAGAAAGTGAAAAACACGGGAGCACCTTATACCTTATCTAATACAAAGCAATACGCAGAGCGCTACTTTAACATGCCTGGCTGTACTTATTTTTAAAACAATGATACATGCCGTGTCTCTCCTGACTTCAATAAACATAAGTAGTCATATTTTCAAGTCCAAGTGGTTTGAGTGAGTCAAAGAAGGATCACTGCAAGCCTCAATTTTTCCACAGAGACTCCAAATTGTTTTCTGATGGAGGGGAAAGGGATTGGAACAAAAATCAAACATAGCGTTTCTGAGCCCCAGTCGCTGAGACACACTAAGGAACCAGAACTAACAGGACATCTTCACGGTTAGTGTGCCAAGGCAGGACTCTCAATAGGTAGCTTGAGAAACACAATATTCAAACTTCTATCCAAAGCTGGCTGGCTGTTGGAGAGACTGACAGTATGTTGTATTTGGTTCACAAATCTTATTTGTACAATGGACTATGAAAGTTCTGGAGGGGAAAAATGAAAAGATTTACCTAAGTCAAAATACTCTGATATATAACCAACACAAAACAAGCTGGTTTGCTAAAAGCTATTAGCGAGCTACATGACAGTATGATGATTCAGAAGTATAACCCTTATGACCAGTATAAGTATAACCCAGACCTGAAAACTGCAGGAAGAGTGAATTCTTTAATCCCTTTTAAGTAACAAGTCCTTTTTGGAAGGAGCACAGCATCACCCAAATGCCAAATAACGAGAGGGGAACCACAAATCCTCACAGCACTTTGATTTTAATTGTCTTCAATCTACTAAGAACAATGTGAAATGTAACTTGAACACCACTTGATGGGATGACATCAGATGAATGTAGCCAAAACGCATCTTCTAAACCACAAGTAACAACAGTCTCTCTGGATCAATTCTGATCCTTTGCAGCCTTGGTAAGGATGCTGCAATGCCACCCGTCAATAAGGGGAACAATTAAGGAGGTAAGAAAGAACAAGAGAGCAAACCCAGCTATTTCCTTTCAGTTAAATTTACCTGTATTCTCCGCAGAAATGCTGCTGTAAGGCGGAGGGGCATCATTCACCACTGGTGCAGTCTCGCCTGGCTCCTCTTCATTCTGCAGCTGAACAGACCCACACACAAGAGAGGTTAACAGGGTTTCTCAAGTTCTGTGAAATTACCCCTGTAGTTTTAATTGCACACAACAGACTCTTCTGGAAGAAGACTGTTCTACGGCACCATGGGACATCCGAGCAGCTGCTCAGCTTCCCTCCGAAGCACTCCCACTTGAAATGATCAATATGCCATCTCAGCTTTAATGTGTTTTTAAACCACATCCTCACACACCTGGACTTCGACAAAGCACAGCATACATCTTTCCAATACCTTTCCATTTCCCTGGCACTTCCTCAGATTCCTCAGCTCACACTGCTTAGGAGCTGCAGTTGCATGTTTTAGTCGAGGAAATATCAGGAGATATCCAACAAGAGACTCCATTGCTGCCTCTGGATTTGCTAAGGAGGAGGGTTTTTTCATGGATACATTACATAATGATACACATAAATATGAATCTTGCCATTTCCCTTCAACCTTTCACACTGTATGACTGAAAAGGAGGCGGTTTATTTTGTGCACTGTGCTTCCCACAGGCTCTGTATAAATAACCATACAGCTTATCAAATGTACAGTGTCACTTGCATGAAGCAGGTATGCAAACGCAGGCTTTGATCAGAGAAGCTGACAATACCGGGCCAGAAGCGTTCAACACAGCACGCACCAGAAAGGAATTTACAAATCAGCTGCCACCTAATTTTTTTCTTCTTTCCATTTCTCATCATCTCATCAACAAAGAAACTGAGGTTTTATGCAGAAAGACAACTCATTTCAAAAAAGCACCTTGGGACTGAACCACACGCCTGAACAGAGAGGTACTACCCTCTTTTGTAATCACCACGAAACAATAGCAACCCTGCAACTTCTTCCCTAACATCTTCTTGAACTATCCCTCCCGCACACCCCTGCTAATACCCTGGAAGCCATCCATGACATTTTGCTTTCTTTTCTTTGGAGAGACATGTTGCCATTCAAGTCCTTCCCAAGCATTTAATGCAGGGCGGGGGGGAGGATATGTTCTTCTTTTACTTGTATGTCTTATCAGGAAAGAAAGGGGGGGGAAAAAAAAATCAGCTCACACTTCTAAATGAAGGTCTTGTTTTATACATAACTGTTCTGCATCTTGGGTTTTTATTCCTTTTGCTGCCTAAGATCAAAGATCAGACTACATCCATGTCCTCTGTGAAAAGTCAAAGCCAAAACTTTTCCAGATGTCTTAAGTGCAGTTCATTGGGCGTTTGCATCCAAACCACAGCTGCATGTCTGAACTGCGAGACATCCGAGTCCTACAAGCTTGCTGAGAAGAGCGTGGATTGTTTTATTTTCTCCGCCATTAACTGGACAGCTGCACACCTCCATCAGCTGCACAACCGCAAGCATGCACGGAACGAGTCACTGCAAGTCGGTGGTTCATCGCACTGCAGCCAGACACGGTGTCCCCGCTGGCTTTCCACCTCCTCGGCGCAGAGGCTGCCGTCCTCCCCACCCTGCCAGCACAGCTGATGTGTCACAGTTCCCGATGCCAGTTATGGCAAAAAGATTTTAAACACGCCTACTGTTAAAGGAGTTTAACCTAGTAAGGTTTAAATTACTTGGGTTAGCAGGCGACGACACGAGCAGTTCTGCTGGCAGGTCCAAGGGGTTGGCCAAGAGGGGGAAAGGGAAGAAATGACACTAGGAAGCACTGGAAAAAATTCAGCAGCACCGTCACCCATTCCAGCTGAACCAAAACAACAGGCTGTCACAGAAACAGGACTCTGTTTCACCATCAGATGAAGATCAGCTTGCTACTCTAACAGCAAGCCTCCGTCCTCTCCCCATTCACATTTTCTAGGCTGGAAAGGTGGAAAAAAGAGGAAGCTGGTCAGCCCCAAGCTTTCTGGGTAAGAACTCCCCACATGGCACAAAGCTGAACCACTTCCTTGAAGAAGGAGAAATTATTTAAGCAATCTGGATGAAAATTTAATCTGTGTTACACCAAGAGCACCTCCTAGCACAGATGCTGTGGCTGTCAGCAGGAGACATCTAAAATGCTGGCCCCCGGCCAGATGTGAGCCCACACCAAATCAATCCCATTCTGCGCCCCAGGAGCGAGGCCGTGGGGTACACAGGGCGGAGGTGGCAGGTACCTGCCTCGCTGGCCGCAGCTTTAATTAGCCTCAGGACGCCGAGCAATTAACACGATAAGCTGCAGCAACTCCTACAACAGCAATGCATCTTTGTCTTTTGCAAACTGGCTAACTCAGCAGGAGCCCTTACCAAGAAACAAAAACACCTTATTTTATAAACCCCATGGAGTTCAGTCATTAGAAGAAAATGCAAACTTATGAAGTAATTGCCTATTAAAATAAGCTTTAAAAAAAAATTTAAAAAAGAGAATACTGCTGCAGAAATTCAAAAGCAGCCTGCACACAGCACGAGAGGGGCAACCTAAGGGATGATCCAGTAAAACACCGAGAGTCAAACTAGTTGATTCAGTCTCTCCCCAGCTCTGGAGTCGACGAATTTTCAGAAAATGCTCCACCATGCTTATTTTCAGTCCACCCATGAAAATTCAGTGCTTCTCCCCTTTTTTTTCTTCTGCCCATACAAGACCTAGCCTATTAACGAAGGAGGAAAGGCTCCGACACACTAGGGACACTCTGGATACCACATGCCCTGCATTACCTGCTCTCCTCGTGAGGGGGTGGCAGAAATCAAAACCCTGATGTTCCTAAGAAAGAAGACGTATACAACCTAAAAGTACAGTCACCCAAGGAGGGGGAAACGAAAGCGCTAGAAGTGACAACACTGCAAGAGATGAAACAAAAGAGGACATACAGTGGAGTGTAATATTAATTCCTACCACTGGAATTCTTACCAAGTTCTTCTTTCAATAGTAAAAAGAAATACGTATTCTTACAACTACCTCGTGTGGGAGAAAGCAAGCTGAACTTACTGCTAGCTTCAAACCACTACAACTCAGGTAATGACACAAAAAAAAGTAATTCCTTTTTAAAGTCGAGCTAGAGGCTGTAGGAGGTATACAGTTATAGAAAACAGATTTTTCTTCTAATGGACAAGGTACGCAAATGCCTTCCAGCCTTTTTAATGATTCCAGGCATCTAAAATTCAACTAAGTGCTTATTAGCAAAGCAGTAAGGGTTCATGTGACAGGAAGAATGAGTCATCAGGTCTTGCATGGCCCAGCACTGCTGCGCTGCCCTCGCCCTGCGTGTTCCACCCGCCTTGTGCAGCACCGGGTACACGCCATGAGGAAGGCTGCGCTGCTCGGGTTTGCAGGCAATTCCCCCCTGGGCCGCTGCCGAGGGTCTTCAGAACCCGGAGAACCTGATTAAAGCAGCATTTGGCTGAAGCCTGTTTTGCTGAGGCTGTGGGGTATTCTTTCTTTGAGTCACTGATGGTGACAAGCAGGACTCTTGTATTTGTGGCATTAAAAAATAGACAGTCTTTACAGCAATGCATACAGTTATTAAAACAAAAGTTTGGCTGTGATTTTTTCACCAGCTGGCTAAAACAACAGAAAGTTGCCTGACAGAAGGGGGTAAGACCCAGGGACACTTATTTTCCAAAAAACACCATCAGAAGCTTGGCTCTGAGCAAGACATCGCCTCTGTCAGCCACTTCCCCCTGCTTGAGCCATATCACGTGTAAATACACACAGCACAGTAGCATTAAAGTTCAAACCTTACAACACGTTTTGAAATATCTCCACATAAAACTTTGACAAAAGCATTTCCAATAAATATATTTGTTAATTCTTCCAAATTTTCTAAACTTGGCACATGGGCTGCTGACACAGTTTTGGATCTTTTTTTTTTTAACCTCCCTTTGCCCCAAGTCCTTAGGCTACATGCAAATATTCTTTATAACTAAATCAGGATTACTACAAGCTTCACCTTAGCAATATATCATCAGTAATATATTAACTCAGCAGTATATCATCAATGTTTACTGCATTTCAGTTCTTATTTTATGTTCCGGCACACAAGGTAGAACTGCACAGAAATCCTAGAGTGAAGATATCCCTAATCAGATCTCATTTTTGTTGTTACTATGGTTTCTGTGAGGTTTCAGAAAGGCGGGTATTTAGGCTAATGACAGAAAGAGAATCAATATTTTTTAGAAAGGTGACAGGATTGATTTTTTCAGAACAATGAAATCATAACCTTTGCAAGCCAAAGGTTAAAAAAAATAAATAAACGTGTATCACTACTAAATTTGAGAGTACTCCAGCAAGGCAACAGCCTGCCCACAAAAAGGCTATACTTCACTCCCTTACAACACCCCTTACTTTTCTCCTTCCGTATCTTTGGCCTTTTGGAAGCAAATGGGAGTTTCTGTCAACTCTGAAGGAGAAGAGAAGTGTTTTTACTGACTTACACTTCACTTTAAACGTACCCTGATTTGAAATCCTGATTTTTGCCCAATGCTGTTGCAGATTCCTATAACTTACTATCAGCTTATTAATCAGCAGGAGTAAGCTATTAGACAAGTCAACCCACATGCATCAGCCCTCTCCTTGATGAGCAAATAACTGTTTTCTCCCGTAGGCACTTCCAGTTCATTTAACCGAAGGAGAGTGACAGCCCTGAACAGCGTGTCTAGCCCAGCTACCCATGCTCAGGCACGGCACGGCGTCTGCTGTGCGGCTCTTAGGTGACAAGCTTGGCAGTCAGTCGCACTGCCTAAGCAAACCCTCCCTCCAGCTTCTCCCTGCACCAGGAGATGCTGATGCTCCTGCCCAAGCCTCACAGTGGGGAACCGATTCTCCCCAGGGCCCTGAGCACAGCCCAGCTCTGGGGAGCAACCTCCCGAGGTCTCTGCCAACCTCAGCTGCTCCTCCATTTTTAACAAAGGACCGAAAACCGTGCTTCCACTCCCCCTCCCCAAAAATGCTTTTCCTTTTCCAGCTGGACCAGCTCCCTGCCACGCAGCGAGCACACAGCGGCACCCACGCGGTGGGACGCACAGGGCAAGGACCAGAAACCAGCGGGAGCGTCCGCCTGAAGGGTACATTTGCGACCACCCTCCCAGCTACCAAGGTAAAAACACAAATCAAAGCATCTTTTATGTCCATCAAAACACAACCTGTGCTCACGAGGATGTTGTTCTTCACTGACCCACTGCAGTTAATGGCCTGACAACATGGAAATACACCTCGGCCCTGGGAAACACGCTGATCTAATTCCTTCGCCTCTGTTCAAACAGGGAATTATACTGGTCTGGCTAGACGGTAAACAAGTGCTTGAGCCAGCACAAACCTGTGCCTACAGACTGCCCTTAGGTTTGAGTGTTCAAGGTCTTAATACAGAAGAAGTAGGTTTTAATCTTAGATAGCTGTAATTAAATTTCAAACACTTAAAGCCTAAGGCCTTGCCATA